CCTTAATTTTAAGCAAAAAGCGCAAAAAGGCAATCAGATTACAAAAAAAATTATCAGCTCAATAACTCCAAAGAGGTAAAACAAACTATATGTTTGTATTGTTCGAATTTAACTTTTGTCTGTTGAGATCTTATTAACATGCGTTTGTCTATGTGTGTAGTGGTATTGCAGTTACCCGAATTCTGCCGCAGTGGATTGAGCGAACGAAAAATATTTCAGGCACAAACGTTGCATACTTAATTTAATGACGACGTCAATCATTTGTGCATATGTATATGCTGTTTTTGCAGCCAGTGCTAAGTCAAATGCAGCACATCAACAAAATTTTTCAAACAAGCACTGGACTGGAGATTCGAGCAATTTTTTAAATGATATTGAGTTTACGATAAAATCATTTTGCTAACGAGCAAAATTATTCCTGATAATGTTAGTATTGATATTTTCTTGGACGTTGATGCACTAAGGTCAGTACATACAAGTGGCCCGTATGACACCAGGCACGTGCCTGTTTGGGTTAGGTGTTAGTAGGCGCGATGGAAAATATAGGACAGAATACGAGGAAAATTGACTACCGGCGTGCTGCTAGATTGTTAGCATGCATGCTTACTAAGTGTGTTAGTATTAAAGATTTTAATTTGGGAAGGGAATCTACGTTAGAGATTAGTGTGTACAAATCATTAAAATTTGCACATAACACTCTAAAAGGTTCATGCAGTTCAAAGGAGGTCCTACAGTGGCGCAACACTAATGGGATATAGGATCTAGTGGTTCTACATGGTACATGGAAATTAAGCTGACTCAACAAGTCAGCACTTTCCACATCACCATGGATAAGGTTAAAAATAAAGGTTATCCCTAGCATCGTTCTACGATTGGGTAAGGACGGCAAGTTTATTAATAGGAGTCTACTAGAGTAGGAAGGTAATCTTTGGTTTGCATCCCAATTTAAACCGCGTAGAGCGAAAAGTAAAAAGTTCTTTTGAACCGACTCAATGCGTTTACTATGGACGCCGTACTGAGGGCTCCAAACGCAGCATCCATATTCTAGGATAGGACGAACTAAGGAAGTTTATAAGGATTTAGTAACATAGGGGTCATTAAATTCCTTCGACCACCGTTTAATAAATCCAAGCACACCCCTGGCTCTATTCACCATAGACGAAATATGATCAATAAAGTCAAGTTTTGGGTCCAAGTGGACGCCCAAATCGTCAAGTGTATTAATTCTTTCCAAAGAGCAGCAGTTCAGCGTGTAAGTAGCAAGCTTAGGAGCGACACGAGAGAATGTCATTAGCTTGCATTTCGAGCCATTTAAGTTTAATAAGTTTACACGGCACCAAGTTTGAAAATTATTAAGATCTGTTTGTAAATCCGACTGGCAGGCAACGTCATTGTATTGCACGCAAAGCTTGACGTCATCCGCGTACATAAGTACTCTGGAGTTAGTCAAGACTTTGGGCAGGTCATTTATGAACAATGTAAACAATAAGGGTCCCAAATGGCTTCCTTGCGGGACACCAGATGTAACCCTTAGAACATTGGATAAATTATTCTTAAAGAGGACCTTTTGCGTCCTGCCATTCAAATAACTAGAGATCCAATTAAGAAGATCACTTGGAAAACCCATAGAATCGAGTTTTCTAACGAGGAGAGAATGGTTAACAGAGTCAAATGCTTTACTGAAATCAGTATAGATTACATCTGTCTGACAATTATTATGGAAGCCCTTTATAATATAGGAAGAGAGCTCCAAAAGATTTGTTGTTGTTGATCTTCGCTTAATAAAACCATGTTGACATTGAGAAATAACCGATCTACAAAGGTGCTGTAAGTGAGGGGTGATAATATTTTCAAATAATTTTGGGATGGCCGACAACTTAGAGATTCCTCTATAATTGCTGGCATCCAATTTGCTACCTTTTTTGTGGAGAGGAATAATAAACGATTCCTTCCAAATAATGGGAAAGTGGGGGTTTCTAAGGACAAGGTAAACAATTTCAGAAGGGGATAGCACAGGGCGTCGGCACAATACCTGAGCACACAGCCAGGAATTCCGTCGGGACCTGGCGAATAAACTGGCTTGACACGATGAAGATCTAAAAGGAGAGAGCTTTCGTTTAGGCTAGGACAGAAAATTAAGTTCGATTTGGGTATGTCTTAGGAATAAGTCTGGTATATATACGAAGAGCTAGAATAGGTTGTTTGAAAAAACTGCGAAAATAGATCGGCTATTGCCTGATCATTATTTGCGGTAGTATTTTCAAATGAAAGCGTGGAAGGATTGGTTTTAGGTTTACGTTTAGTGTTAACGAAATTATAAAACTGTTTTGGGTCCTGTGAGAACTGGGCCCTACAACGATTTAAATAGTTTTTATAACACTGCGCGTTCAGCACGGTAAAGTTTGACCGAGCTGATAAATAAAATGAAAGGGCAGATTGAGAACCGGTGATTTTAAATTTAGCATACAGTCTAGATTTTTTATTTTTAAGTCGGCTCAACTCTTTAGTAAACCACGGCGGTTTATTCGAGCTTGGCGGATAATATAACGGAACACATTCAGTAAAAAATGAATTCATGGCACTGTAAAAAAATATCCACGGCAACTGCCATGTCAGTGCACATGTATAGATCGGACCAATTGAACTCGTTTATAAAATTATTCAGCCGTTCAAAGTCCGTTTTGCGAAAACATAGGACTTTATTGGCTGGACGGTCAGAAATATTCTGTACGTCACACCCAATATCAAGAGTCACATCGAAAGTTGGATGATAAGGATCTTCGGGCTGCGTCAGAGGCGCCACCCTTGCTAAACTGACTCTCGCAGGATCAGAGACGAAGCAAAGATCAAGCAAGCGCTGTAAGGAATTTCGCACATGGTTGACTTGAGACAGCGAAATGTCAAACAAGCCAGCGATAAAGTCATGTTGTGTAGGTGTATTGAGAGTATTGGTGGAATTATTTGAGCACCAAATAGCACTAGGGATATTAAAATCTCCAAGAACTACCAACTGGTCTCTATCCAAAAGTCTACTGGAAACCATCTGAATAGCGGAAAGGTGATTCCAGTAAATGGGAAGTTCCGACAGTGGAGGTATGTAGGAACAGGTAATACAAATTGAGCTACCTTTCATAGATAGCTTCACACAGAGGAATTCAACATCGTTGCATTCCTCGAAGGTTAATAATTCTGACGTGAGTGAGGAGTCCACCGCTATAAGAACTCCACCCCCGCGTCTGATAGGGCGATCTAGCCGATATACCGTGAACACAGCTGGAAAAACTTCGGAGCTCAGAATCTTCGGCTTTAACCAGGTTTCTGTGAGCACAATAACCTGAGATGCAAACGAAAGGCTATCAGAATACAAGTTAGGAAACTTACTACGTAAGCCTCTTGCATTCTGATAGGAAATACCTAAGGAGTAGGTTAGTTTTTTGGGTCGGGATTGGAAGACGTAGAAGGCGCAGTGGTAACATCAGGCCTGGGAAGAGTTATTTCTACAGGCCGCTTTTTCTTTTTCTTCGCCTCGAACTCCTTAACAACGATGTACTCTGGCCAGAAGTTGGGAGAGCAAATAGTGTTAAAGAGCTCGTTAGGGACATTTATTTTGAAAGATGAAATGTCCCTTGCGTAAGAAAATTTGAACTTTTCCACCTTTATCTTTATTTTTTTGGCTCTGGTTTTGCCTTGTATAAAGTCGAAAACATCTTCCGATGTTTGGTCAGGGGAGAGCCGCGAGACAAAAATATGTCTCGTTGGTGGAACCGCTATAAGGGCTTTTGGCAAGGCAGATTGGTTATCTGCCGTGCCAATGTCGGCCGGTATTCCGGGCCTAACACCCTGGGCAGATATATTTGTGTGCACGGGACTTTGAGGGGTCAATATTTGCGACCCCCCAGGGGATAAAACAGGAATCACCGGCGGTACGGGCACTCCCGCTGCACATTCGGATACCGAATCTTTCCTAGCGCTCGATCTCAGCACTCTTGGAATTAATGCTGAGGTCGAGGGCTGTGCCGTCGGAGGCTGCTGCTGAGAGCCTGTTGCAGGTAGTTGGGGTCCGTCTACATGCTGCCCACCAATAGCAGTTTTTTTGCGCCTAGGAGACTCATTTAATAGCGTAAGGCTATTAAATTGGGTGTCCAGCGCCAAGAACATATCAAGAGTTTTACGAAAACTCGTTAAAATGCCCTTAAAACCGCTTTTGGTTTGCCGAATGAAAGACGACATTTCCCTTTCTACATCGCGACAGGCCTCACAACAGTAACGCAGGCCGATGTTTTTTCTTACATCGTCCACCGTCCGAGCTGCAACTCCAATACACTTGGCGTGCATGACGTTGTCGCACAGCCAGCAGCCGATTGTAAGGTCACCTGCAGCAATTGCCTTTTGACAGGTTTTAACAAAACAGACAATGTTTCCGGACATTATGAGGACTTACCACTGTACTTTTAATTGGAAAAAAAATAACAACAGAGCTATAAAGAAAGAAGTGAAGAGTCACAGCGAGAGCGAGAGAGCGGGAGAGCGTATTAGATTAGATAAGAAAAGTGCAGCGGCACAGCTAAAGCGAGAGAGTTGGAGAGCGTGGGAGATAAATAGATAAAACGTTTAGCTGTTGCAACGGCGCAAACAAAAGCTAGACGAAAAAGACACAAAAAGGAATTCAAAATATGCAAAAGCTAGCACTAGCAGCACAACTAAATTGGAAAATAAAACCAATTATACATATACACAAAATTAAAAAAGCTGCATGCACACTCGAAGTGAACGGGAAGTTATTAACACAACTTAGAAAAATTAAGTTAACCCCGGTGTTTAGATTCAAACTTTAATACAAAACGAGAGCGCAAGAAAAAAACACGTCCGTTCACTTGGATAGATGAATATATATATATATATATATATATTTTAAAAAATAATTTTGAACATTTGGTAAAGCACGATTGCAATTTGGGATATGCGTTCGAGAAAAAGCTCAAGGAGTATAGTCAAAACATTTCGAACGAGACAGAAATTCGTTTAAAATGTGTCAACTTTATAGTTGCTCTAATTAATGAGCTCAAACAGAGGTATATGCATATTATAAAGTAATTATAATATTTTTTTAAACAAATTCCCAAATTTTTTCAGATTGCCAGACAATTTTGAAGTCCTGCAACAAATCAATTTATTTTATGTCGACAAAATGTTTTGTGCCAAGAAGGCGGAAATAGTCCATATCCTCGAACACTTCGAGCTTGAGTCTAGTAATATTGAAGAGATTTTGTTTCAGTATAAGAACGTCCATCTGATACATTGGAATAATGTAATGGATACAATAAGCTTTTGGGCCGAAGTTTCGAAATATACGGATGCAGCAGGCAACAAAAGATTTTCGGCACTGGCATCATTTGCGGTAAGCCTGTTATCGTTGCCATGGTCGAACGCAGAGGTGGAAAGAGTATTCAGCCAAATGAACAATGTAAAAACTAAGCTTAGAAACAGAATGGCTTATCAAACATTGAACTTAATTTTACACATAAGGTATTTTATCTGCTTAACTCATATTTTAGATTATTAATAACATTAACTTTAATTTTTGTAGATACGGACTTCGCCGAGAAAAAAAGTGCTGTCAGTGACAGCCTGTCACAATTATGAAGTGCCAGCAGCATGCCTGAAAAAAATTGGAACTACCTGGGCATACACAAATTTAGCTGGAGAAGAAGATATAATTGAAGAACTTGATTTGTTGGCAGAAATACTTAAATAATTAATATGTACAGTCGAGTCCCGATAATTCGAAATGGCAAGGGGATCACTGTTTTTACGAATTAGACGGGAATTCGATTTATCGAGATTTCTATTTAACGGGGCTCAAAAATGAAAGAGTCGAATAACCGGAGTTTTACATTTCACACCATGTTTGCATATGTATTTAACTTTATTAAAATTAAACAAACATTATAAGTATGTACATTCATTTGTACGTTTTTCAAATTAAAGGAAAATTAAACAATAACATAAAATTATAATAACAAAAAATTAAACAATTAAGCAGGAACATTAAATTATAAAAAATAAAAATTCAAGCCTTAAAATAATAGCTGTCTGCAAAATCTAACGGTACTATAACTACAAAAAATTTCGCATTGCATTACGATTTATAAGAGGTTACGAAACAAAAGTACGACTTATAAGAGATTCAATATTCTTTGCGTTGCGCCAAATAATACGAATTAACGAGGGCACCAAAATGTATGGAATTTTTACGAATTAACGAGTTTTTTTTTCAAGGGAACAGAATTTTGTACGAATTATCGCGATTTTCGATTTAGCGGGGTACGAATTATCGGGACTCGACTGTAATTAATTATATAACTACAACAGACAAACGCATCTAGAATATATTGTATATCCATGTTGGCCCTATGTAGGCCTAAGATATCCCTATTATAAGCATTTACCAGCCTATCGGAAAATTGGCAACGGAGAAATACCTATATTCTTCAAAAGTTATTTCTAAATGGGTAAGGAAATTTTTAAAACTATTAAAAATGGCTTCTTTATCGGAACAGGATTTTAAAAGCTCTTTAATTTTTTTAAACGTTATGTTCAACATTGGCTGCGTTGTCTTCCAATGGAAATACAAGCGTGGTCATAAGTATTTACACTACGACCAAATACTTGCAACTCGCAACTTATTTTGCTTGTTATTCTTGTTGCTGTTGATTGATTTGTTTAAAATACTTCTTATCGCAAAGCTTGATCTATGCAAAAGCTCCCATAAAAGGAATTCGAAAAATAACGGTGCTTAGGACAAAGCTAGGAGCAAAAGAAAAGATGGATCCAAGTTGTCAAAAGTATTTACACACATTTTAATAGCGTCAGAAGTATTTACACAAAACTTAATATTAATTTATCAGCTTAATATCTAATTTAAACAGAAGATTTTCTTAATTTTATAAAAATACGTTACTAATATTTAGTTACACAACCTTTGGCATCAATAACTGCTTGGAGTCTGTTGGGTATTGATCTTACCAAAGTTTGGGCAAATTCTATTGTCAATTCGGACCAAATTTCAGTAATTTCAGCGATGGTTCCCTCGCGTTTTCTATTTTTATCAATCGTTTTTTATTTTTTATAAAAGCCAAACATTTTCAATAATATTGAGGTCTGGGCTTTGTTGGGGCCACGATAGAACTGCCTGATTCAGGTCGTTTGAAAACTTAGTTGGTATCCTTCCCTTATGACATGGAGCATTGTCCTGCTGCAGAATCCATTCATGACTTGGAAAAAGTCTATTTCCTGATGTAAATGCATGGTCATTAAGGATATCTAGATATCCGTTCTGGTTTAAGGTCCCTTGTATTGGCACAACGTCCCCAAATCCATAGTATGAGAGGCATCCCCAGAACATAACTGTGCCTCCCCCAAATTTGTTGATTGGCTGGGCTGCCAAATGTTTTTGTTTTTTTTTTTAAATGCATAAAATTTTTGCCTCATCCGTCCATAAAATGTTGTACTAGAAGTCAAGAGGCTTTTTTACCAGGTGTGGAGGTTAATAATTTTTAATTTTTTTCGAAAAAAAATCGTCATTTTAAGTATGAGTGAATAAATTCATTTATTCAAAGTATGCTTTATCGTTTGATATACATTTTTCCCATCTTTCCGGTAAATTGTGAATCCCCTTCCAAAAAAACTTTTCATCTTTCGATACGATCCACTCATCGACCCATTTTTTTACTTCTTCGTGGTTTTCAGTGCTGCCAACTTTTGACCAACAAAAAAAGCTGTTTTCGACGGGAGAAGTGAAAAAAAAAGCTTAAAAAATTTATAAACAAATCCAAAAAAAAGCTGAAACAAATGTATAAAAAATAGAAAAAATTTCAAAAAATATAAAAATTTAATAAGTTCAGTTTTGTTTAAAAGATTTCCATAATTTGATCAATTTCTTCATGGTCTTCCTTATTTTCGTAAGACCTAATAGTTCCTATCATCTGCAGATATTTGATTGGCACTTCATAGTCGACGCAGCATTTCCCGACCCTTCGCAATCCGTTTCTGTATATTAAAATAAATATAATGAATATAAATAGAAATGAATATCTTTTGCTTGCACTAGTATGCTTCTTTATTGCAGCGTGAGCTCGCAGATCACTGAGTTTAGCTGTAATAGTAGTCTTGCAATAGTTGCAATAAACCCTTTGCAGGTCTGTGTCATCCCTGCGAATCCATGCCTTAAATTCATCACTTTTAAGCCAGACATCGCGGCATTTTTGTTTATACTCCTTCGGCATTTTAGAACTTGCTAACAATTTACGCGGACTTTTTATATAGAGATGGAAAAACTAAGCGACTTATGAAATTAGCGTATATCTATTAAAACAATCGATACGTCGCTACATTATCTGGTTTGTTCGTAAAGCTAACTTTTTAGCTGCCACTTTTTCATATTTTGTACTTAAGTTTTAACAACACAAAAAAAATCGGGAAAAAGCCAATTCAATTTCCAAAAAAGCCAGAATTCCCGCTTTTCACAATTCCCGCAATTCACAAATTTTTCCCGCAGTTAGCCTTAAAAAAAAGCCAGTTTTGACGGGAAAAAATCCAAATTGGCAGCACTGGTGGTTTTTGAAGTGCTGCATAGAGAGCGCGTGCGACATCGATGAAAACAGATGGTAATCTGATGGGGCCAGGTCCGGTGAGTAGGGCTTCTCAAAATAAATATTTTTCTCATCCCCAGTCACGATCTGATGCAAAAAACTTTCATGTTGGTGCCGAGATAACAATATTTCGCACATGTGCCGCAAATGCTCTTTATCTGGCTCGTAACTTGACATTTTTACAACACTAAAAAACCAAGACGCTAACACGGAACTGTGCAAGTATTTATGTCGATTCAAAGTGCATTGACATAACAACAAAACGGCGTAAGATAGAAGAGTGTAAACCAATGGGTGCATTCAGCGCCATCTCCGGAAAAAATTAAGAATTATTAACCGCCACACCTGGTATATACTCCAGCGCCAATTGGAGTCGTTTGACTTGGTTGGACGGTGTGATGTCAATGACTTTGCAGACAACATATGTATTAATATTTGTCTCTTTTAGCCTGCGACGAAGTGTAGCATCACTAATTTTTTTTCCCAATTATAGATTTTGATTCCAAGGCAATTTTTGCAGGACTTGCACTTGGATTACTTGCTACAACTCCGAGAAGATGCCTGCATTGCCTTTCGTTAAGGACAGGTTTTCGGCCTGATCTTTTTTTATTTAGTAAGGTGTTCTTCACTAAATTGTATCGTTTTTTTTTTTCGAAATTTCATACGATTTAGCGATTACGGGTGCAGGGGTGCCAGTTTTAAACTTGGTGACAATTTCAGCCCGGAGCTCAACGGCTAATTCGCTTTTTTTTTTTGGCATTTTTTGAGTTAACTGAAATAGATAATTTCTTATTTTTAATTATTTTTAAAAAAATTACCTCTTTCCGAGCAACTGAACCAACACCGGTCACTACAAACTAAAGAAGAACTTTCGTTGTGTAAATACTTCTGACGCTAATCAAATGTGTGTAAATACTTTTGACAACTTGGATTCATCTTTTTCTTTGCTCCTAGCTTTGTCCTAAGCACCGTTATTTTTCGAATTCCTTTTATGCGAGCTTTTGCATAGATCAAGCTTTGCGATAAGAATTATTTTAAGCAAATCAATCAACAGCAACAAGAATAATAAGCAAAGTAAGTTGCGAGTTGCAAGTATTTGGTCGTAGTGTAAATACTTATGACCACCCTTGTATAACCATTGTGTCAGGCTTTGGTGAGTATGGAGATGCAGATTCTCTGGCCACGGAGTTCTCTGAAGCACAAAAAACTATGCTTATGGCGCTGATTTTGAATTTTGTACCTCTTGTAATTCAGGATCATCCCTAGAGGTAGTAATAAAACGATCAATGAAACGGGTCAATGAATCGCCAGAAAACCAGTACATGGCATGTGAGTGGGGCCCAAGGGTTGCACCAAAAATTTTCGGAGCTTTTGAACAAATTTATTAATTGCCGAAACCTAAAGTCAAAATATCGGGATCATGTTACGGAGCCAGATCTAATAAATCGAGTTTTTTCGGAGCTAAAAAGAGCTACAGCTTCGTTTTCAGTAATATTTCTATTATCCAATAGACGGGAAAAACTAACCCAAAGTTCATTCCATTTCGATTCAGCAGCGGAAAAGATTATGAAGAAAGTAGGCAGCCCAAATTGCCTGATCATGGCAATAACTTTTTTTCTCAGTTTCCCAATGAGCTGGTGCGGAGCGAAGACCTTTCAAAATATGGTATCCGTCCTCATTACAGTAACCGCAGCTAATTTTTTGCGTAGGGCAATGGAGATTGAATTTTGAATTCGCTGCATTTCATAAAACTTGTACATATAAAGAATCTTAGGTACTACTGCACCTCGAGTGTCATAAAAGCGAATCTGCAACCTTGCTTTTTTTAAAATAGATGGTTTTGGCTTTATATATTGATCCGATTGAGATTGTTGGGAAAGACAGTTCTTCTGCATCCTCATCAACGGTTATATTATTTGGGAGGCGGCCTTCTCCAAAACTATGCGTTGAAGTGCAGGGTCATTATTTTCTAAGAGTTTAATGACCACCTGGGCTTAAATCTTCTTCTGGTCGAATTCATTCTCTACTGGGCAATTGGCGTACAAGCTGTTCCACTTCCTCTCGGTCAGCTTCATCTGC